TTATCACACTATCTCACTTATCTACACTATCTACACTATCTACACTTATCTACACTTATCTACACTATCTACATATCCACACTATCTACACTTATCTACACCTATCTACACTATCTACCTTATCTACACTTATCTACACTATCTACACTTATCTACACTTATCCACACTATCTACTTATCTAAACCAATCTACTTATCTACCTTATCTACATATCAACCAATCTACACTTATCTACACTTATCTACACTATCTACACTTATCTACACTTATCTACACTTATGTACACTATCTACACTTATCTACACTATCTTCCTTATCTACTATCTACATATACACTTATCTACATATCTACCTTATCTACACTTATCCACTATCTACACTTATCTAAACCAATCTACACTTATCTACTTATCTACATATCTACACCAATCTACATATCTACACTTATCACTATCTACACTTATCTACACTAATCTACTATCTACACTTATCTACACTATCTACACTATCTACACTTATCTACACTTATCACACTATCTACCTTATCTACACTTATCTACACTTATCCACTATCTACACTATCTACATATCTACACTTATCTACACTATCTACACTTATCCACACTATCTACACTTATCTACACTATCTACACTATCTACACTTATCCACACTATCTACACTTATCTACATATCTACACTATCTACACTTATCTACACTTATCTACACTTATCTACACTTATACCTTATCTACCTTATCTACACTTATATACACTTATCTACACTTATCTACACTTATATACACTAATATACACTTATCTACACTTATCTACACTATCTACAATTATCTACACTTATCTACACTTATATACAATTATCTACACTTATCTACACTTATATACACTTATCTACACTTATCTACACTTATATACACTTATCTACACTTATATACACTTATCTACACTATCTACACTTATCTACACTTATCTACACTTATCTACACTTATCTACACTTATCTGCATTATCTACACTTATTTACACGTTTATACACTTATATACACTTATCTACACTTATCTACACTTATCTACACTATCTACACTTATCAACACATATATACACTATCTACATGATATACACTTATATACACTTATCAACACTTATTTACACTTATCTTCACTTTATATGCACTTATATACACTTATGTACAATAATCTACACTTATCTACACTCTACACTTATCTAAGCCCATCTACACTTATCTCCACTTACCTACACTTATCTGCACTTATATACACTTATCTGCACTTATCTACACCACCTACACTTACATTCTGTACACTATAATAGGCACCTTGAGACAAACTTCTTTTTTCTCATTAAATTCGTTAATAAACAGTAAATATGTTACTCAGGTCAGGGTAACCAACGCCACGTGGAGCCATAAGTCAGGGTAACCAACGCCACGTGGAGCCGTTTACTGTACCACGTTTACGTTCATTCATCGAGTTATTTAAAGACGCCATTTAAATTCATTCATAAAACCTTATCATTTTAATTCTAGTATTCCCTTTATATTAATTTATTTTTTTATTTCGTTAATTTCATTATCTTCGTATATTCTGTTTCTTCTAAAAATTTTCATTTAAGTTCATTTTTTAAAGCGTTTTCACACAAACGCTAATTTTATTCCCCGCTAATTTTTACCCTTTAAAAAATTCTGAGTGAGTAGACGCGAACTTTAAATCTTATTATGTAAACAGTTATCTAACGTAAACATTATGACGTCATCATCCTCAAACTTTGAAATATATAATTACTTACATTACCCCTTAACATGTTTACGCTTTCTATTACTTAAGTACCGTAAGAGAAAACGTAAATAACTTCATTAATTTGGGAAACTATTTTATTATGGCTTTTAGTGCTATACAGTAATATTATTCACTTGATAGATAGATAGATAGATAGATAGATAGATAGATAGATATTTATCGAGTTATATCGTCATACAAGTTAACATTGGTTCATAATATAGCCAAGGCAGGTAAAAAAAAGTTAGATGAATTGATATATAGATAGATTTTCAATCGGTAAAATCGTGCTACAGTTTCATTATTTATACAGACACTGCAGGTACACAAGTAATGGTTAACAGGAGATAAGTTAACAATATTATTTTGGGCTTTGGGTTCACGTCGACAGTATCAGTAATTTGTTGTTATTGTTTATTACGTTTGTATATTCCCTGTGCAATCTGGGTGACGTCAGAGTGAGGTTCCGTTTTTCTGATCTCCGGAAATGGAACCTAACCAAATCTACCCTAACTTAATCTACCATAACCTAACCTAACATAACCTACCCTAACCTAACCTAACCTAACCTACCCTACCCTAACCTAACATACCCTAACCTAACCTACCCTACTCTACCCTACCTTAAAGATCAAATGAGCATCACATATCAACTACCAATCAGAACAGAGTCAAATTACATACAAATTATTTTTCTTCATATTTTCACAATTTAACATAGAAAGAAGTAAGAATCCCCAGGAGCCATTATAAAGTATTAACTGTCATCAACTGAATACGTAAGAAAATAATACTGGCATCAACAGAAGAATCTCCACCCAGCTTATTTCACCCTAACACTATTTAGGATTTTAGGAGAGGTTAGGTTAGGTTAGGTTAGGTTAGGTTAGGAGAGGTTAGGTTAATGTTAGGTTAGGTTAGGAGAGGTTAGGTTAGGTTAATGTTAGGGTGATTAATCTTTAGGTGAAATAATCTGGGTGGAGATTCTTCAGATGATCCTAAAAATCTTATTCAGCTGGAAAAAAATAAACATAACCTAAAATATTTTACATTTACATTTTATTTTTAATTATTTATTATCATCATCATCATCATCATATCATCATCATCGTCAGATTAAAAAAAAGACAAAACTGAATCAAATTTATGATATATGAATAAAATCCTTCTTTGAAAATTTATGAAATACTAAATCTTTATGTAACTTTACGACACCAGCCCAGATAGGATTACGTCATTTCAGGTCAGGCAGGTCATGTCAGGTCAGGTCAGGTCAGAATAAGTACGATAACCTAAGCTTTATGTCACCTGCAAGCAAGTAAAGGTTAAGTAATTTAAGTAAGTGTGGCTCCATAAGGTGACGTATATAAGTGTATAATGATCTTGTTATTCATATTTTATTTCTTTGTCATACCACGCATCTGTAAACATATGTCAACAAAGGCGAGGGTGAAGGTATAGTTCAGGTGTGGACAGAAACAATGGCGTCAGGTATTTCTTGTTATGTTGAAAACCTCCCACGTGTGTTCACGCCTCCCTGCCTGATGCTCTTTGTCTCAGTCTGCCTGCTGCTGCCCCCCTCCGTCCCTCCCTCCCTCTCCTTCTATACATCACCTTTTCCTTCATCTCTTTCCCTCCTCCCCCCCCTCATTTCTTTCTCTCCTTTCTCCTACTACTTTCCCCCATCACTTCCCTCTTCGTCACAACTTAATAACAACTTAATGTACTGCCCCGGACATACGCAGGTAGTCTTGTCTGGCCACACCGTCACGAGGGAACACACTGACTCTCGTGGTATAAATTCACTTACCTTTTATTATCTATGACCACAACACCATAACAAACCTAACCTAACCAAACCATGACCACAACACCATAACAAACCTAACCTAACCAAACCATGACCACAACACCAACAAACCTAACCCTAGCAAACCATGACCACACCATAACAAACCTAACCTAACCAAACCATGACCACAACACCATAACAAACCCTAGCCTAACCAAACCATAGCGTACAACACCATAACAAACCCTAACCTAACCAAACACTTGACCACACCATAATAAACCTAAACTAACCAAACCATGACCACAACACCATAACAAACCTAACCTAACCAAACCATGACCACAACACCACCAACAAACCTAACCTAACCAAACCATGACCACCATAACAAACCTAACCTAACCAAACCATGACCACAACACCATAACAAACCTAACCTAACCAAACCATGACCACACCACCATAACAAACCTAAACTAACCAAACCACTTGACCACAACACCATAACAAACTAACCCCTAAGCAAACCATGACCACAACACCATAACAAACCCTAACCCTAACCAAACCAAACCATGACCACACCATAACAAACCCTAAACTAACCAAACCATGACCACAACACCACCAACAAACCTAACCCCTATTTAAAACCATGACCACAACACCATAACAAACCTAACCTAACCAAACCATGACCACAACACCATAACAAACCTAACCTAACCAAACCATGACCACAACACCATAACAAACCTAACCTAACCAAACCATGACCACAACACCATAACAAACCTAACCTAACCAAACCATGACCACAACACCATAACAAACCTAACCTAACCAAACCATGACCACAACACCATAACAAACCTAACCTAACCAAACCATGACCACAACACCATAACAAACCTAACCTAACCAAACCATGACCACAACACCATAACAAACCTAACCAAACCAAACCATGACCACAACACCATAACAAACCTAATCAACTAAACGATGACCACCAAAAACAAACCTAACCTAACCAAACCATGACCACAACACCATAACCCTAACCTAACCAAACCATGACCACAACACCATAACAAACCTAGCCTAACCAAACCATGACCACACCAAAACAAACCTAACCTAACCAAACCATGACCACACCATAACAAACCTAACCTAACCAACCATGCCCACAACACCATAACAAACCATTCCCTGGTTGAGTGCCGCGGACAAGGTAAGGCTGTGACCTATCATGTACCCGACACAGCTCCTGCACACTCCAGCCCTCCTCCCGTAGCACCGCCAGGCACGGGGGTCGAGCCAGTCTCTTGTATCCTGCAGTATATAGACCCCCAGACAAATCAGGCCTGGCAGAGTCCTCCTCCTTACCAGCTGAGTTAAGGTCTTCCTCCTCCAGAAGCCCAACTAGCCTACGTACACTTCCTCTTCATCATGTTGGTCTTGGCAGCTGTGGTAAGATTTACAAGCGTCTCTTGGGAGTAAATATAATAGTTTAGCTACGTTACATTCCCCCCTCAACAAAATGTGTAAACATTAGCAATTCCTTTCCTTTAAAAGTGTAAACAACAGCAACTAACATTATTTTCATCTCTTGGTTAACTTGAAAATTCGTGAAATATAAAGACAGATGAATGTAAGTTAGACAACTGTGGTATATCCATGTAAACATTATCACGGGTATAAAGAGTACAGTCCCCCCTCCCTCAGGTGTGTTTGGTGCTGGGAGTGGCGGCGGTTCCTCAGCAGGGGAGCGACGGAGGACTGACTCAGGCCCCTCAAGCTCCCTTCGCACCCGGCTATACCCAGGAGGTGAGTGGTGGTGATGATGGTGGTGATGATGGTGGTGATGATGGTGGTGATGGTGATGGTGGTGGTGGTGGTGATGGTGGTGGTGGTGGTGGTGGGTGGTGGGTGATGATGGTGGTGGTGGTGATGGGGGGGGTGGTGATGGTGGTGGATGGTGGTGATGGTGGTGGGGATGGTGGTGGTGATGATGGGGTGATGATGGGGGTGATGATGGTGGTGGTGGTGATGGTGGTAAGATGATGATGGGTGGTGGTGGGTAATGTGGGGTGGTGGTGGTGGCGGTGGCTGACAGGTGGAGGGTGGTGGTGGGTGGTGGTGATGTGAGGGATGAGGTGTGTGGGGGTGGATGTGGTGGTGGTGGTGGTGGCTGTGGGGTGGTGTGGTGGTGGTGTGGTGGTGGTAGGTCACAGGGCAACACAGGCAAGTGACAGTGTGTGTGACGCCTGGCAGGTGTGTGTGTGAGGTAAGGTGTGGGAGGCCGAGGTGTGGGAGTGTCAAGGTGGTGAGTGTCAAGGTGGGAGGTGTGGGAGGCCATCAGGTGGGGGAGTGTCAAGGTGTGGAGGGTCGTGGGAGTGTCAAGGTGTGGGAGGTCAAGGTAGGGGAGGCCAAGGTGTGTGAGAGTGCAAGGTGTGGGAGTGCCAAGGGGTGTGGGGAGGCCAAGGTGTGTGGGAGGCCATGTGTGTGTGGGAGGCCAAGGTGGGGGGAGGCAAGGTGTGTGGGAGGCCAAGGTGTGTGGGAGGCCAAGGTGGCGTGTGGGAGGGCGGGGTGAGGGCGTGTGGGAGGCGTGTGGGGAGGCAGGTGTGGGGAGGTGGGGAGGCCAAGGGGAGGCTGGTGTGGGGGAGGCCAAGGTGTGGGGGAGGCCAAGGTGTGGTAGGAGTCTGAGTGTGTGGGGGAGGCCAAGGTGTGAGGTCAAGTGTGGAGGTGTGGGGGAGGCTGAGGTGGGGAGGTCAAGGTGGGAGTGCCATGTGTGTGGGGCGTGGGAGGTTGTGGGAGGCCAAGGTGTGTGGGAGGCCAAGGTGGGGAGTGTGTGGGGAGGCTGGAGGTGGGGGAGGCAGGCTGGGGGAGGTGTGGGGGGAGGCCATGTGTGGGGGAGGCTGGCGTGTGGGGGAGGTCTAGGTGTGGGGGAGGTCAAGGTGTGTAGGAGTGTCAAGTGTGGAGGTGTGTAGGAGTGTCAAGGTGTGTAGGAGTGTCAAGGTGTGTAGGAGTGTCAAGGTGTGTGGGAGTGTCAAGGTGTGTGGGAGTGTCAAGGTGTGTGGGAGTGTCAAGGTGCGGGTGAGTGTCAAGGTGTGTGGGAGTGTCAAGGTGTGGGGGGAGTGTCTAGGTGCGGGTGAGTGTGGAGGAGTGACCTAGACACACTCCCTGAGGTTGAGGAATAAGGGGTACAGTGTGTGACCTTTAAGATGTGTTAGATAATGACTCGAGACACGCAGTAACCCAGACGAGGTCATGACCTTTATGGTGAGATGACAGAGAGAAGGAAAGATGTTATCAGACAGTTACGTGTGTGTGTGTGTCCAACGAGTAGTAACATGTGTGTGTCTGTCTGTCAGGTGCTGCAGGCGAGGAACAACTTCCAGCAGGCCTACAACTATCTGGCCGAATTGGCCCACCTGGCCCCTGACGACCCAACGACCGTCTCACCCACCGCCCAGCTCACCCAACAACCCACCCAGGCAGCCCACTCCGCTCCCGGGACCACCCTGGCTACCACCCCTGTGCCCTTCCCTCCGGGCTATCAGTTCGGCGGCCTCACCCCCGAGGTGGCCCGCGCCACTATGGACTTCTTCAGGCAGTACGTTGCCACCGCTAACAGGGCAGCCCCCAGCCCCAACCAAATCGCTTAATGGCGCCTCAACCGACCAACCCAACCACATCAAGTAATGGCGCCACCATCAAACACCTTAACGACGTATAGAGTAGTTTACTTCTCTGTTATAGTCACCTCAGCACCTCCGCCTTCCTCTTCCAGTAAATTGACCATAGTTTTTAGAGTCACCTTAGTGTCCAGGTGTGTGTGTTGTGAGGTGCTTCAGGTGAGTCTCGTCCAACACTCTGCTCTGTACTGGAGAGAAGCAACTTAAGGTAGAATTGTGTGTGTGTGTCTTGTATGTTAGTGTTATTAGAATACATTATTTACCCAAGCCTGTTTGTTTTCTTAAACATGATGAGATATTGTGGAAAGCTTTGTATCGTTCTGTGAATGTGGATAAGTGCGTGACCCAGAGTGCCTCTACATCACTGTCACAACACTTAACCACTAGTCATCTTGGTGCTCACATCTCCCCGAGTCACTCATATACGTGATGACTCTGTGGTTAAAACATTTGATAAAATTTTAAGTTAATGAAAACATATCCTGCGATGGCCGGGAATCGAACCCGGGTCAACTGCTTGGAAGGCAGCTATGCTCACCACTATACCACCATCGCTTGCTGTTACAGTATGCCGTATTTTACAAAGTGCTGAAAACTTTCTCTGCCGTCACTACAGCACACATCCAGACACTTACTTGATCCCTCTTACGACACAACTAACTCTAGTACTAAGAATATAAGACACATTTTCCTTACTTACAATCACACCTGTACACAACTTACTGACCATCAGACACACGTAATAATAATATCAAGACATATGACAGAGAGGCGGTGGTAAATTGGTATGTTATGCTTGCCACTCACTACAGACATCTGGGTTCGATTCCTCTTTACGCAGGATACGAGTAAGGTGTGACCCTCCCACGGCTGGTGTTCTCGGGGTCTTCCTGTATCCAACTGTACTAACACTGTATTATCCTAACCTGTTAATTAGTCGCCAGGTGGTAAAGAGGATGAATTATATTCCTGTACCAGAGTAAACAAGAGGTACAGTATTGTTGGACTGTTGTTGATGTTTTCACTTTCCGCCGAAGTTATAAATAGAAGCTTTGACCATGATCACTGATCTCGACTTAACCTAACCTAATTCAACCTAACTTAGCTTCACCTAACCTAACCTAATTCAACCTAACTTAGCTTCATCTAAACTAACCTAATTTAACCTAACTTAGATTAACCTAACCAAACCCAATCTACTATAACCTAACCTAATCAATTAAAATTTAACTTAACCTAACCTAAGCAAACCTAACCCAATTTAAACTAATACAACGTAACCTAACCTACCTCTAACATATACAGTAGAACAAAATTTAACTTAATCTACCTACAAGCAAATTAAAACCTAACCTAACAAAATTCCAACCCACTGCTATAATCCACAACCTAACCAAACCTAACCTACCCACAACACGACCCAACTTGACCCCCACCAAGCCCCGACCATACAACAAGACCACTCAAACTAGTAAACTATTATAACGTGTAAGAGGTGACCCATTACTCCTGCCCTCAGAACAATAACACTGATGCTATATACTTTGTTCTACTTTACCGTCCGAGTGAGTGTCTCTCTATTAAAGGAGATTTAGGTGTTAGGTCACAAGACATACCACCAAAAAATGCATTAGTACCACCACCCCCAACCTTCCGCCCCCCTACCCCCACTCCTTCAGGTGTTGGCCGGGGTGAAAGGGTTTAGATTCTATTAACTGAGGTTCGGCTAAAATAAAAATCTCAAGTTTGCGATGGCCGGGAATCGAACCCGGGTCAACTGCTTGGAAGGCAGCTATGCTCACCACTATACCACCATCGCATATTTAGTTGATAAAACGTTTATTGTAAAGTCATGGAAACTTTCTCTCCAGCTCCACCGTCAAGGGAATCCACCGGGCAGGCAGTGAGTCGGAAGCTCCGTCTTGTATTCAACAATTATCTTAACACAGTACAGGTCAGATAGAGACTTCAGATCAGATCAAGATATAATGATTAAAAGTTTTTATGAAACCAATAGTAATGTCTGTGTGCCTCCGTCAGTGTAATGCTGTGCCATAAAGATAATAAAGTTGGCTTAAGTTAATGGGTACTCTCTACTATTTCTTACAATTTACCTACATTTTCTTGTCCACCCGAGTGATGCAACAGGTTCACACCGACAACAGTGAATAACTTACTGACTCTCATAAAAGATTCTAATTCTTCCTCTTCACCATCTCACTGCCGACAACACTATCTTGCCAGGTACATTAGTATCATAAATACATGATACAATATAGCATCGGTGGTTCAGTGGTAGAATTCTCGCCTGCCACGCGGGAGGCCCGGGTTCGATTCCCGGCCGATGCATCCTTTAACCACCTGCGCACTGTTAATATGAACCACACGAGACAATTCAACACCTACTGAGTAAATATTTTAACTCTACCTTGGGGATTAGATAAGGTTAATAACGTTAAGAGTATTTACTCATCATCACGGTGAACTGAGTTGTAGCGGCTCTGTATGTCTAAGGTACCTCACTAACAGTGTAGCCACCGTGTGCAGGTTGTTAAAGGATGCATCGGCCGGGAATCGAACCCGGGCCTCCCGCGTGGCAGGCGAGAATTCTACCACTGAACCACCGATGCTGTTATCTGTTCTCGTGTTTATGATGATAAAGTTACCAGCAAGATACGGTTCTGTTATCAGTCGGGTGCCTAGTCTTCAAGTGATCTCTAAAATCTTTCCTGGAATAAAACCTCCCAGGTGGCCGTGAAGCCTGTGTACTGTACAGGTCTATAAATTTAAGAACATACAGACAACTGGCGGCTGTGTCGGTCGTCCACCTCGTGAGTCTGGCCTCGGCCACATCACAGCTCGTGTGGCCGCCAGCTTGTCAACCCACACTCGGCGTCTCTCAGGGGACTGTGTTGTCACCGCTGCTGATCTTAACATTAATTACTCATACTCAATAATTTATAAACCATCTAAATATTACTGTTATGTCTAAAAATTTCTTATTAAAGAAGGTTAAATTTTTTTCTGGACTATAAATAAAAACGAGACACTGTATTGTGTTACCTTCTCTTACCCTGGGTGTTGGTGACCCTCACTCAAGGCCAAACTTGTGACGTCAAGAGGAAGGTAAACAATATTTCTTGACACAGGACGACTGTGTGTCCCGTAGACCAGTGAGGGGCGGTGTGGATACAGCTCACTGCAGACTAAACCTTTTTTCGGTATACAAGACGACAGAGCGCCTGGCCGACACTACGCCTTCATTTCTCCGACTGTAACGTTAGGTATTCATCTCAGCCGAGTGAACCAACGACCCTTAGGACAGGAGACGAGTGCTGTATACTCTTGGCCTCCGACTCTTAACTTTCCTCTACTAAACATTCCCCCCACACACACAAGATACGAAAGTGCTTTTATTAATTGTAATTATATAACATTATCTTACCATAACTACAAGTGTTAAGATAATTGTTAATATGAATATAGTTAAAGGTTAGGAAAATATTTATTTTGTTCGATGTAAAGAACTTCTAATAAGATGGACCACATCACTGCCTGGAACTGTGTGAGCGCTCGAGTGAACAGCGAAATTTCCATGACTTGTGTAAAATACTCCTCCATAATACAGGCAGCGATGGTGGTATAGTGGTGAGCATAGCTGCCTTCCAAGCAGTTGACCCGGGTTCGATTCCCGGCCATCGCAATAAACATTTAACTCAAAACTACAGGAAAAGTTTTCTCAAGATATGAATACAGTTGTCGATGTTTGGGGAACTTTTGATGAGGAGCTCGACAACGGAAGCACGTGTTACATTATTCAGTGTAATAATTCCCTTAAATATAATATCTAATTTGTATAAATTAAAATCCCCTAAATATTAGAACTCCCTTAAATGTAATAAATCCCATAATTGTAAGTCGTCACTCTCGCCTCCAGCTTGTTGTCACCACACTCGGCGTCCCTCTTAAGATTAATTACCCTTAAAGAGAAATATATGAATTATCTAAATTAAGGAGACTTTTATGATGGTCTGATATTCCCAAATTATAAGTAAGACAAGAGATCCTTTGATTAACCTGAGACGACTGATGCATCCACTCGTCCACCGCAGCCAAGTCTTATTGTAAACACTCACTTATGAGGACAACTTTTAAACAACAAGAATCTCAACGAAGGATGTAAATATAAGCAATAAACGGCAAGAAATTTGTTTACTTTATTTTTATAACACACACACACACACACACACACACACACACTACATCCTTGACCACCGAAGGGTCAAGACGTACCTAGCGCTCCTCTCGGAGCAGCCAGGTCAACTGTTAAGTTGGCCCATACCAACCCCCTCCCCTGAACCCTCCTCCCCACCGGAATATCAACAAGTTCTCGCCAGAAGTTACAATTTCTTTTAGGAAAGGAACGGAACCAGTGTTAAACAGAGGTGAACAGTGGTGAACAGTGCTTAAGTCAGTGAGAACAACTCAACAGTAACAGTCGTACCCAAGTTAACCTTCACACAGTGAGGTCCCAGGTACCCAGTGATAACGGCCCCCCGGGAGACCCAACAACAACCACCGATGTGTTAATCCGTCTACGATAGGAAGGCCTGGGACCAAACCTCACTCATATAACACCATCTGTGAGGGAATTACTACACCACATGTCCCCTCATCACACCATCTGTGAGGGAATTACTACACCACGTGTGAGGGAATTACTACACCACGTCAAGTCCCTCATCACACCATCTGTGAGGGAATTACTACACCACGTGAGGTCCCTCAGTGAGGGAATTACTACACCACGTCAGGCCCCTCATAACACCATCTGTGAGGGAATTACTACACCACATGCCCCTCATCACACCATCTGTGAGGGAGTTACTACACCACGTGAGGCCCCTCATAACACCATCTGTGAGGTAATTACTACACCACGTGAGGTCCCTCATAACACCATCTGTGAGGTAATTACTACACCACGTGAGGTCCCTCATAACACCCATCTGTGAGGGAATTACTACACCACGTGAGGCCCCTCATAACACCATCTGCGAGGGAATTACTACACCACGCCAGGGTCCCTCATAACAACATCTGAGGGAACTACTACACCACGTGAGTTCCTCCTAACACCATCTGGGAGGGAGTTACTACACTACGAGTTTGCTGTTCAACACCTACATTAATCTGTATGTTCACTGTATGTTCCTTTACCTTTCTCTAATGAAGGCTTTTGTTAAACCACCAATGTATGTAATAAGA